ACTTCAGTGAGTTTTCCTGTGGATGAGACGTGAATTCATGTGCTTCTGTCAATCAGATAAGCATGCATCTGCCTGAATAGAAAGCAGACTCCATCTTCCATTCGCCTGGAAGATGTGGTTTCAGGAATTTTTCTTTTAGAGAATGGTTGAATGGTTCACGACACATGGGAAAATTACACTCCTGACACGGCTTAATAATTATATTAATTAATTAAATAATTAGCTGGCTGGAGGAAAGAGCGCAGAGGCTTACAAAGGCATTAAATACACAGACATGTAGACACATACAAAGATGCTGGGATTTAATTCATTTTGGCTTTATTTATGTGACAAGCAGGCAATACCCTACATCAGGTAAAAAAGAAGTCAGCAGAAGTCTGTAAAAGACCTCCGGCAGAACCAGGCTCAGGGACGGGACGCCATCTAATACAAGAGATTTCAGGGTTCGGGGAAAGAGAGCAGAGAAAAGAGATTCTCCCCTCACAGGTAAGTAACAGTGAGGTGCTGCTAATCTAATGAACTATTTACTAAACATCAGCACTGTTGGGTGTAATAGCTCAAAAGTAACATGTTACTGTAATCAGTAATGCAGTTACATAATGCATTATTGTACTAAACAATGATCACATCAACTTCAGTAGGTAACAAAGGCCGTGATGAGCAGTCATGCTTGCAGCATCGTAGCCTCCATTTTTTTACTGTGCATGTTTGTACAGTAGAATCACTGCAGCAGTAGTTAAGCAGTGGCTTAACTATAGTTTACTCTACTTGGCAACAGATGACCAGAGTCAATAAGTAGCCCCAGAGACCCTGAGGGCTTGAAGTTTATTACCTTGTATGGAAGATGTTATAGAAAAGAGAAGTTCTACGTCTGCTTATAGCCATTAAAGATGTACAAGATGTACCATTAACTGTGACTAATGTCTGGAACCTATTTTAATCTGGGGCAGCGTGTACCCCACTGCCCTATAAGTGTTCTCAACATGTATTTTTGTCAGAAGACATAGGCTGATGTTTTCTCCTGGGTGTTAATAAACTCATCGTTTGATTGCACTTTGCTGGGGCCTCCGTGGTTTTTCTCACTGCTCTGCATTGATCGATTTCGCAACAGTCTCTATGGATGGTTTTCAACTTTGCATTTGAAAAATCTATTTTAAAACTGGAACTGTAGCCTCAGGTTTATATCGCTAACTGCTAACTTTGTGAAAATGCGATTCGTGTCATGTTACGGACTGTAATGGGTCATTTTTTCTGGTGTCTAATTAAGTAACGTACTGCATTACTTTAAAAAAATAATAATTAATGAGTAATATATAATATATTACTATTGTTGAGTTGTGACTCCAACACAAATCATCTGTTTGCACGTCTAGGGGCATTCAGGTGTGCTTTAACACAAAGCCACAATCCTCCCAGGAGCCGACATCTGAGCAAACAACCCAGACTCTACAGGCCTCAGTTAGCATGTTGAATGTTACAGTGCATGACAGCACAAAAGCCTGAACAAGCATGGCCTGTTTGGAAAGGTTGCCAGGAAATTGGGTCATGCAACAGGACAATGAGCCGACACAGACCGGCAAATCTACAAAAAAGGAAAGAATTGAGGTGCTGCAACAGCCCAGTCAAAGTCCAGACCACAACCCAACTGACATGCAGTGGAGAGAATAATGGGCAAAAACTCCTCCACAACAATGTGAGAGGCTGATAAAGTCATGCAGAAAAAGTTATTACTGGTTTTACAAACTGCTGAAGTGCAGACACACCTGAACGTGTCTGCCTGCTCTCAGAGCTTCACATGACTGTTCTTGCCTTTGCAGTAAAAAGAAAAATAGCCACTCACATTTCTCTTAAGTGGTTTCCATGTGACAACAGAGATGATACTGCATTGAATTAAGGTGTCATGCCTTGTCTAATAGCCCTGTGTGAAAGAGGGCTTTAATTACTGCATATTTAAACAGAATTTAATCTTTTCTCCTTTGTTTGATTGCATCTTTCATGTCTTTTAAGCAGAAAGGACAAAACACGAGACCGAGAGCAATGCACGAATTCATTATTGTAAAAATAAAAAAATAAAAAAACATTGCGCCCTACAAAGGCGTGACATGCAGAGTGGAGATGTGAAGCATATCTAATGCAGCTGATGCATGAGAGCACACGCACTAGACATGCAATGAGACGTGCAGACACACCTGAGACGGGCCCTCTGTCTGCCTGCTCTTAGAGGTGAAGATATTCCTGAGTGTTTTCCTCACAGACTGCAGAGAACCTTTTTCTGAGGGAGGAGTGAAGAAGGAGACTCAGTGGGTAAAAGGTCAATAAATTATACAAATGCAGCCTTGGAGAAAATAACTCAAGAGTAAATGGAGACTTTTAGAGACTGCAGGGAAAAAAAAACCTCGTTGTTGCCTGGAAACCATTTCACTGGGACATTGTCTGTCTCTTGTTATGTTTGATGGGCTACTGAGCAGTTTGCTGTGCCACAATAGGCACAGACACCATCTGGATACTTGGAGTGAACAAGCTGCCAAACCTTCGCTCACTGCTGTTAGGGTTGCAAAGTTATTAATTCCAAACATTTGACATCTGTTGAGGGCGGCGATGAACATGTTGAAGTCAATTTGGTAACCTAACAAAAAGAGTAGACAGGTTTAACTCTAACCTTTAAAAAGCTAGAAGAACATATTTATTGCTGCAGGGCATGATTGACTTTAGTGGGGAGTCGTCTGGTTTATCACCATCGGGGTCTCACCAACATGTGATGGAGAAAATAAATATGTTACAGGTAAAGCTAGGCTTGAGTTATTTAATGATCAAACACAGCCATCTTTCTGTAAACAAGCCTTTCTCGTGAACTTAAATGTGCATTCAGGGTTTTGCAAGCTGCAAAAAATATATTTAACACATTTTAAGTTGCGTTTCAATGCATAAAGTATATTTTGATGTATCAAATTACTGAAAACAACAGGGATAATGCACACTAAGCAAACACAGACTCTTTGCAAAGATGATACTGTTGTGCTGAAGTGCAGTCACCTCCTAAAGGACTTCGAGCCTGTGCATTTCTTCTCACGTGAGTCATCTGCAAAA